CATTGTTTTCAATCGTTATGAGTCTACCGATTGAATAGAATTTTATTATAAACAATTGTCTTGTAAATGGAATTTTTAAAGCATTCAGAATGTAAAAATAAAGAAAAAAGTGTGCAAGATAATAAGAAACACTACCCCACCCCAAAAGTGAAGTTTTGTTGAAATCAGTTGAAAAATGTAGGAAATCCGATCCCATATATAAAAGAAACACACACACACACACACGCACACACACGCACACACACACACACACACACACACACACACACACACACACACAACCTGAGTTTTATAATAAGCATAACTCGATATGAGTTTTCCTCCTTTCATTCTCGCGATAGCGATGCCTCTTAATCGTGTTTTCAAATTGATTTTGTGCAAAAATAATTGTATTTTTCCAATTTTTGGCGCTGTCAGAACCACCGCAAGGTAATTTTATGTAGTCCTGTGAAGTTTTGTTGAAATCGGTTGAAAAATGTAGGAAATCCAATCCAATATATAAACGAACAGACACACACATACACAACCTGGGTTTTATAATAAGTATGATTCGTTCTCATTTCATTTGGATATCTATCTATCTATCTTTTGATAATTATTTGAGTCAATTTTGTTTTTTGCCTGGGAAACTCTTAGACAATTGAAAACATTACTAAAATGCATGCCTTTATTTCCTCTAACCTCCATAATTTTGCAACTTTTCTCATTTCAGTTCCAAATGGCTCTGTCTTTGGTAGAATTCTATACACGAACTCGCTGTTCATCTGACGATGACTGCAAAAGTGACAAATGTTGTACCCACAGAAAGACACGTTTGCGAGGCAGTGGATTTGGGATTTGTCAGGTTAAGTCCAAGTATGGAGAAGGTAGGCTTACAATTACGATTAAAAATCTATCTATCTATCTATCTATCTATCTATCTATCTATCTATCTAATATTAAAAATCTGTAATTGCATACATGCTTCCGTCCGGCGCATAATGATTTATGTTAATTTGATTTAAGTGAATAAGATTAAAAAATACTAGTTGTTTATACAATATTTTATTTTAACTTTCTTTAAACAAACAATTCTTTAAATTAAAGACAGACACAAAGAGATCCCACTTTGCCGCTTTGCCCAGTTGCTTTTAGAGTAATTATTTATATTTTAGCTTTCTTTAAACAACCAATATTTTACATATTTTAAAATATTTATAGCATATTAAAAAAATATTTCCAAGTGAATATGATTTAAAAATGTGAATGTTTTACAACCTGAGCCGTCAGTGACCCAAGTATATATATATATATATAAAGTTAAACTACTGTTCGTACGGTTTTTAATCGAATAGTAAATGACTGGATAGTTTCCGGTCAGACCTGGTAAATACAGGCTTCTTCTAGTTATTTCCGCCCAAAGTTTTTACCGCAGTATCACGTCATATGGAAAAAAATATATACTTTTTATATATCAAGAACAATTTTAGATGTCAAAACGGAAAAAAAATTTTCAAAAGCACAATTTGAACTCATATCCTTCCGACATCAGTTTAAAAAGTGATGATTTTTTTTTCATATAGCTCAATTATAATTGTCAAAAAGTGAAAAGTTCAACGGAATATGTTGGAAGAGTTCTAGGAAATACAAACTTTAGTCATAATATATGGGGAAAAAAGAAGGCCTTAGATTAACCCATAGCCTTCTGGCGTCTGTTTAAATTGGCTCCAACTTTTTCATACATCTAAACTTTAATTAAAAGCTATAATGTCGGAAAGTAGAAATTCCTCTTTGTTATAATCTTACTAAAACCAGATCTTCTTCTGATTCATGTTACACAAATTGCCACCACTGGCCGAATGTAAACGCTCCGAAACCCAAGACTGAACTAGAAATTCCGTCAACTGCGCCTTGGTTCCGCACATACCTTCCGTTTTACTTACGCACTCAAAGAAAAATAGAATCCAGAATCTCCATCCAATAGCACCCACTCCCGCCTAAAGAAATAAAATAAACATTGATGCCGATCTGAGCCTAAGAAAAGAACATAAAAGCCCATCAAAGATACATCTTCAGCAGTCGGATGGCACAACAGCCAGAGTTCATAACACTCGTCGGGACGCCACCTCCTAAGACAACTTGCCAAAGGCCGTCGCCGCAGTAAGTCACAACTCACCTCCCCTCTCCTACCGTACGACTCTGCGAACGACTTTTACGATTCTACTTATCACTTTTTTCAACGTGAGACATTTACACTAATTTACCATTTGTTGTATTTTTATGTTAATACGGTTATTTATTTCTTAAACCTTGGTCGTTTCTTCTTTGTTCTGCCACCATACGCCTAATATAGCATATATCAAGAACAAGTTTAGAGAAATCTATATCAAAACGGAAAATTTTTTCAAAAGCATAGTTTGAACTCATATCCTCCCGACGACAATTTAAAAAGTGATGGCTTTTTTTTTCATAAATTTAAATTATAATTGTTAAAAAGTCAAAATTCAACGGAACATGTTGGAAAATTTCTAGGAAATACAAACTTTAGGCATAATGTATAGAAACAAAACAAGGCACTAGTTTAACCCAGAGCCTTCTGGCGTCTGTTTAAACTGGCTCCTACTTTTTCATATATCTAAATTTTAATTAAAAGCTATAATTCTGGAAAGTGCAATTTCCACTGAAATATGTTAGAAAATCACCAAGTTGTCATCAGAAATTAAGAAAATATGAACTTTAAGCAAAATATTCAAAATATATGGAAAAAGAAGGCGTTAGTCGTAATTGGGGTGTGTGGGTTAAAATAAACTGGGGTAACTTGGGCTATTTATCAGAAGAATTTTAAAATTAACATCTAGTATTTTATGTCTTTCAAATATAGTCGGAAGAACGTAAATAAAGGTTTTAATTTCTATGAATAGAACATGCTAAGAAGTGTAGAAATGTGTTGTGCTGTCTCTCTGTTCCTGAAAAGTAAAACTAGTACATGTTACAAAAGCAATCTTTACTAACAAGTCACATACAGTCATGTTTCAATCAGCTATGCTTTACCCACCCACCTGGAAAGCGTCTTCTTTTTACAGTATCTACCTCCAAACTGTTCTCGGTACAGTTTGATTGTCCATTAACGTTGACATGACCGTTTAAGAGCGGTGCACACTAACTGGGGAAATGGAAAGAAAGTTATCCCAACACCAGCAATAATCAGCTCAGTCCAAGACACGATTTAACTTAATCTAGCGTCCCTGCATGTAGATTATAAATATTTGATGAACAACGGAATGTTAAGTGGGTGATCTATTTTGATTTATAAATCGAATCATAAACAGATCGTCTAATTCAGGTATGGGCAACGTTTTCGAGCAGTGGACCGCATGAGATTTAGGGAGTGCCCAGTAAAAAAGCGGTAAATTCAGAAACGGGAGACAACCGTTGAAAACTGTGATTCAAAAATTCAGGAAGAATTTCTGGACATTTCGTCAATCACCACGTAGGATGTTCTCCTTTGAAAGGTAGGATAAGTTGACAATCAAAATCAGTAAGTTGTTTAGCCATACGAGAAGGGCAGAACGACATACGAAAGCTGTCTGCAAATAATCTTTAAATGACGAGTCACAAGATCTAGTAGCCATTAATCTATCATAAAAGAACCAATTAGAGTTGGGTAATTACACGAGAATCGAGTGATTATTCAAGGTCATGAATATTCATGAAATTTATTCAAGGTTATTCAAGGTCAGTTATTCCATTCCTGAAAGATAAAACAGTGATAATAAATTTGCTGTTTTTTTTTTGTTTTTTTTAACTAGGCACCCTGTAGTTCATGATAACGGGAACCATATTGCTAAAACATCCAAACTCTTTGTTTATTGATTATACCACAAACATTGACACCACAGAAGATCATACGTGCATTTTCAAATGAAGTTTACATGCTTGATCTTTCTTAGTGAAAATTGCCAATCATTTAAAAGGATGAAAAAGTTATCAATCATTGTCAATGTCAGTGATTCCCAAACGGTGCAGCACGCCTCATGGGTGAGGCGGAAGAGGATAGCAGGTGAGGCGGAAGAGGATAGCAGGTGAGGCGGAAGGATTGTAAGACAACCAAAGATTTAGAAACAGATTCATATGCCAAAAATAAATATGACTGAAAAATTTGAAATGTTATGGATTACTTTTAATTGCATGCACGTGTCACAGTGTAAATAATTATTGACCGAATTTATCATTGTGATATTTTTCATTATATCAAATATTAAAAATATAGTAACTAGGCTTCACATATTGGAGGGGAGAGTTATCAATGTTCTGAATTCGAATCCGCGGTTATCTCCTTTTAAGCCTCTTTTTGAACCTTCTTTGCTGTAGTTCTGCTTGTGCCTTTTCACCGGACTTCCCTTTGGTCAGGCGTGAGCAAATTTTCTTTCCGAAAGTGCGGCCCAGAAAAAAAATATTTGGGAATCACAGGTCTATGTATATGTTTATATATGAGACTGTGGGTGAACAAGTGAGAACAAAATGAAGTCAATAAATTTTAATAGAGCTTATTTATCGCATGAATGTATCCGTGCTTTTCAGAAAGTCAATCAGGATGCTTGAGGCCCGTGGGCCGCCCTTTTGCCCATGACTGACCTAGTCTATAAATTCCAGACCTTCGTCTACTCTAAATCACATACTTGTAAGCAACGGTTATTAAATTAAGATTCTTTTGAAAGCGCGTTGCTACTGAATTTTGTATTTCCCAACTTGCAACGTTTAGGTTCATCTTCTATGTACCACGACCCTTCAGGATGTGGTCGATCATGGCTCTCTACAACTTCCTATGTTTTGCAGCTGCCAGTAACGATTGTTCTTTTCACCATACTCCCACTCCCAGTTCCGCCATCCATTTACACAAGCGCGCGAGGTAGGTCATTCGCTGATTTCCCTCTGTCCATCAACATGTCCTGTTAGTGTCAATATTTTCAGTTTAGAATCAGAAAGGGTGAATTGAAACTTCTCGGACACATGATGAGGAAAGAGTCCTCATTATGACTAATTTATTCATTTGAAAACAAAACAAAACATATGTCTTTAGAGAAAAAAATTATTATGAATGTTTTCTGTTTCAAAAGATGTTTACACGTATGATCTTCCTTAGTGAAAATCGCCAATGGTTTAAAACGCTGACAACGTTACTTTCCACAAAATTAAAAAAGTAAATAATTTCACGAAATATTGTATTTAATCATTGTTTATGTCTGTGGTTATATATGAGAGAGTGTGTGAGTGAACAAGTGAGAATGTAACAAAAGAAAATTTTAAGAAACGTTATTTTCTTAAAATAATTCTTAAATAAATAAATTCTTAAGAAGGACTAGCTAGATTAACAGACGGAAGCAGGCATGGGTAGACATGTTGGGATAGATAGAAAAACAAGCAGAAACAGAGTTCGGTAATATATGAAAGTTTAGATCAGGCATGGGAAACCTTTTTCGAGCAGTGGGACGAATGATCCATGCCTTATCACAAGGTGAGCCGCACTAGTAAAATGATTCAAGGTAATTTTTCGTAGTAGCTACCTCAGTTACTTTCACTACAGAAAACCGTATGCATAAGCATATACCTTAAAAATGGTAGGAAAGTTTTATTTGTAAGAAGAGATTGTTTTATAATTAAATAATTTTTAGTCTTAATATAAAATTATCCCTGATGATTGTGATTTATTTCTAATTTATTCGTTTGAAAATGGAAACATTTCTTCTTTAGACAAAAAAAGTTCTTATGAACGTTTCCTGTTTCAAAAGCAAAAGATGTTTGCACGTATGATCTTCATTAGTGAAAATCGCCGATTGTTTAACATCCCTACACGTAAGCCACCAATCTGCCACAAGCGTTTGCGTCCGGTAGCGCGTCAGAGGACCGTTGGCGTTGCCATCGGCGACTCGCCAGGGGGCCAGTAGTGGCTTGCGTGTAGGGATGCTGACAACGTTATTTTCCCCGAAATATTTTTAAAGTTCAAGAAACATTGTATTTAATCATTGTTATGAAAATGCATGAGAGAGTGTGTGAGTGAACAAGTGAGAACGAAACAAAATAAAATTTTAAGAAACTATTTTATTTTTTTAAACATTTTATTCCAAGCAAGACAGGAATACCAATAGTACGCAGGGGGTTACAGGGGGCAAAAGTGAGAGAAAAAAAAACTGAGTATAGGGATAATTGAGGAAAGGACAAAAGATGAAGGGGATTCAAGATGGCGATTGACGTTGCATTTAAATTTTTAATCATTGCAGTTATCAGTAAATAGATGGGAATTCCACAGGAGGGAAGTGCGATAAAACAAATTGTTGGAGTAGAAGAAGCGGTTGCATTTAACTATTTCAGCAGTAAAAGGGTGGGACCTAGATGCCAATATAGTAGCACGCTTAAATTCATGTAGTCGGGGCACCAGGGAAAAACCAAACGGGCGGTATGTGGCCCGCAGGCCGCATTTTTCCAATGACTGGTTTATACAAATAAGTAAATGAGAGTGATACGATTTCGTGGATGTAGCATTGAACTTGTGGAATTAAAGAATGGCGGTCATGGTAATAGGGATATACTTGCGACGTTGTGCCTGTGGCAAAGAGACTGTAGAGTTGAGAATGAGTCTTCTCTCACAAGAAACAATTTCAATCTCTATCAAGATTGGAAAATGAGGAATGTGAAACATCAGCCTGGATATGATAGTATTATGGGACCTTACCCATAATAACATAATGGACTATTTCATACGTAATAAATACTGCGCCTCAAGAGGAAGCAAGGAGTTCAGTCTGAAGTCTGAGTTCAGTCTGAAGTTTGGAATGAGGTCCGTCAGAAGTCCGTCAGGAGTCTGTCAGTCAGTCAGAGCGAGTCAGTCAGTCGAGTCAGAGGCAGTCCGAAACAGTTGCGTTCAGACAATTACTACTAAACCTGATTGTTCGTACTAACACTTTTCTACCTCTCTGTATATATTCCTGTTTGTAATATATCTGTGTTATTCCATATCCGCCTTCGAGTTCTTCTTTATTGGTTCTACCTTGGACTATCACTGTGGTACAAGGAACCGGACCATAACAGATAGCAATACTCCACTTTGGGTCTAATCTAATTCTTGTAATGATAATGCACACCAGAAGGAGATAGGTACTTTCTGGAGCGATAGAACAAATCAAGCATTTTTCCCAGGATCTTAAGCATTGGATCTAGTTCCGCTTGAGATCTGGAGTGATATTCAGATTCAATAGATGTTGAAAGCATAGAGCCTCATTGAGAGAGTAAAAGTTCACCGTAACTGGAAAAAAAGTAAGTCACAGTCTGATTGGGGGCGATGAAACAATATCAACTTTGTTTCTGAGGTATTGAAAGTTTCAAGTTATTTTTCCCTCGTTCGGCATATTTTCCTATGGGTAGCACTTTCTTTCTCTCCAGCTTGTCAGCCAGATTACTTAAGACCGAAGCAATACTGCGATTGTCGAATGCCGTACGCTTGTTCTGGAATCACAGACACTCCAGGTATGGCTTCTATTAATCTTTGTTATCACAGTTGTCAGCTTTCAATATGCAAAGACAAAAAAAAAAAAAAAAAAAAAAAAAAGCAACAAAAAAAAAAAAACAAACAAAACAAAATAAGGAAAATAAAATAGCGGACCGAGGCTAACCGCGTTCCCTTTGCATTGGAATACTTCCATATCCTGGCGCTGTTACAGTATCTGTATTCCTCAAAACGCATCACATCATCTCCACTTTCAATATCCTTTTGTTGCACCAATGTTTATCATGTCAAACCCATCATCTGACCTTCACAACAGCTGTGTTAAACATTCACTTTCCAAAGGAAAAAGTACAATAACCTGTTGAAGGTTCGTAATGGTTGTTATAATTATAATTCCTGAAAACAAAAAAAATTGTACTTTAGCTTTTAATTAATCTAAAGGATAATTTTCTTTACTTGAAGGAAAAAAAAAGAGTTTTAGGGAATCTTCAAATTCTTCTGCAAACTTGACTAAAAAAGTGTGCCGGTACAATTATTTCCTTCAAACTTCAAGGCTACAATGGTTGACTGAGAAAAAAAAAAGTGTGCGAAATGGCTGTAGTAAAAATGACTTTCGCATAAAAAGGGAGCATCAGCGAAAAGACGTTCCACGCGTTGTCAGCCTTTATAGGGAAACAAAATGGGTGGAATCTCCGTTTCAGTGGCTGATCGTCTGGATGGAGGCCGAGTGTAAGGGTAGCGGCGGGAGTTGACCTAATTCTTGTGTTGGTTTGGTGTCAGTTCACAGGGTATGATCGGTACATGTTTGGTTGATCGAGGTCACGGTGGTAGGCTGTTTTCGTTGGTTGGTTGGTAGGCCTGTTCTGTGGAACAGGGATGACGTCGGATTGGCGTGGATGGTATGCCTGTTCTGTTGAATGGGGTGCAGTGGCGAGTGCGAACGGAATGCCTTGTAAGCGAGTTGAGTAGGCCGAGGTAACGACAGTGAGTTGCTTAGGCGATGAGGTGTAGTCGGATTGGTGTCGTGGTGGTGGGTCGAGTGGGTTGCTTGCTTGCAAAGTCGAAATCGCTTCCTTGCGGAATCGGAGTCACTGCTTGCGTAGTCGGACTCGTTTGCTTGCAGAGCTGGATTTGCCGACGTGACGGTGGCGACGAGGAAAGCTCTTAGCTTGGTGGTGTCGACATGTTATCAAGTCGGTATTTGCTGAGGTAACAGTATCGTCGACGATGAATGCTTGTAAATGGGTGTTGTCGAAGCTGCATAGTCGTCCGCTCGTGGTTGATGTGTGTCGAGGTCGAGATGTTATCAACGCGAAGCTGGAGAATCGAGGTGGCTAGTCAAGCCTGGGAGTGGTAACGGTCGTGGAGAATTGCGATCATGTTGAGAGGCGGCGGTGATAGTCACAGCGGCGGTGGTGGCTGCGGCAACAGAAGCAGCAGCGCCCTGTGTGACGGCCGGTGGCACGCCAGGCCACAACTACTGGTGTTGTTCTCAGAGACCTGTTTTTAAGCAGGTCTGGTAGTCCCCAGGTCTACCTCTTTTTCCTGCGGGAACATTCGCAACTGGCCTCTGTCGGAACTCGCTTCGTAGACCGGACGTGATACATGGAGCCTAATGCGCAGAAAACCACATTTGTTATTTCGTTCTCTGCCTTCGTGCCGTTCACATCCGGCCAGCATGCGGAATTAATCAATTAACATCTTTACTCACAAGTCACACACGTCATGTTGCAAGCGACTATGCTTAACCCACACGTCGGGAAAGCGTTTTCTTTTCACGCTGTCCTCCCTACGGTCTTGGCTTCATTGACTGTCCGGTAAGGATTACATGATCGTCTAAGGGTAGTGCACACTAAATAGGGAAGTGGGAAGAAAGTTAACCTAACCCCAGCAATGATAAACTCAGCCCTCACCCAGTGCTTCGGAAATTAATCATTGAAACAGGCGGAGAAGTCAAAATAAATGATGCTAGAGTGAAATTGACAACATGACCTTTAGAAGACGGAAGTCATTAATAGTCATGGAATGAACTTATTTAGATTATTTGCATTCGAACGATTGTGCCCATCTTTGTTATTATTATCACGACGTTTCGATCTTCATCAGGTGCTTATCGACCCAGGTAACGTTCAGGGAATTTCGAACTGAACACTTTACTTAATTTACGGGAGTACACTGTTCTGGTTCCGCTGACCATGTCTAAGGATATCTCGTCCAGTTCTTATTGATTTTATTGCTCAACCCATTTCCATGTCACCAAATTCCCGAACGAAAGCTTGAATCCAGTACGGTATTGTGTCGTGGGAAATCTTTGGGCCAGATAGGGAAGACTTAATCTAAGTGTAAACGGAACGAGCAGTAACTGAGCAGTACTAAATAAGAACTAGATCAGATATCCCTACACATGGTTAGCAAAGCGAGAATAATCTAAGCCCGTAGATTAAATAAAGGGTTCGATTCGAAATTCCCTGAAGGTTACTTGAATTAACAAGCAGTTAATGAAGGCCAGAGTACACAACTTCATGGAAAAATCAAAACGTAGAAAATTAAAGAGCGATAACTGTTATATCTGAATGACATTTTTTTAAAAGGTTATGTATCTTTTAAAAATTATACTCCTTAATTTGTTTCTTCATATATTCAATAATGAATGATTGACAAGTCAGTTGGCTCATTTAAGAGGATTATTTAATGTTGAAATCAGCTAAAGTCAGTGTAGAGATGCGAAGGAAGATTATCTCTCTTTAGTTAAGATGACGTCACGAGGGTCTACGTATCGACCGTGAAATGATATCAGTTTGTGGTGGCCGTGTGTGAAAAAACCTCAGTTGTTATTTAGCACGCGTAGAGGCAAGACATGTTTGCCCACTCCACTTGCTGATGATAAACCGATAAAGTGAATGAAAACTTTAGTCATGAATTTATTGAGAAAAAGGTATTCGTAAATAAACAACAATTTTTTTAAATGATGCATGATAATAATAATAATAATAATAATAATAATAATAATAATAATAATAATAAAAACACTATTTAGATATAACAGCTACTTCCTTTTAATTTTCTAACTCGACTTTTCGGTGAAAACTAAGTGAGTATTTGATTTAACGGTTTCTGTGAAGCCAGTGTTTGGACAAATGACGTTTGCTGTTATGATTGCCTCCAATAAATAATGGACTTTCTTCTTCAGATTATATTGTTTAAAAACTCCGTTTCTAATTGTTTTGCCTAAATAAATCAAATATCTCTTATTTTTCTTGTAGGGAAATGCATCTGAATATTTCTCAAGCATACATTACGAGTCTTCAAAATAAGGCATGAAATAAAGTAGAGAAAAATCGACAGTTTTGAAAACATTTGTTAGTCTTTTAATATATTTTTTTAAAGAAAGTGCGAAGAGGGAACTTGAGGAAAACAGAAATTGGTCTTATAGAAGGATACTATTATATATTATAATAAGGAACACAATCAAACATATTGTATATCAGGATACAGCTATACATCACAGGTTCACATCCCTACTTCTCAACGTAGTCCCCGCCTCTTTCAATGGCAGTTTTCCACCTATGAATGAGGGCATGTATCCAGCTTCGTAAAACTCAGCTGTCTACTGATGTAGCCAATTCATTACATCGATTTTCACTTCTTCATCACCACCTGATTTCCTATTTCTTAATACTTTCTGTAGCTTTAGGAAAACATCTTTCGTTATCCCAATGCACCTTCGAACTGCTGTGTAACATTTATCATCATCTGTTATAGCAATTCCCAGATAATTAAATTTCTGTACCCGCTTGATTCTGACGTCTCCAATTGGTAGCTCGCATCATGGGCTGTCCTTGCTAACAACCTATCGTATTGTGTGGTAAAATGTAAATAAAAACGGTTCTTATATTTCAACATTAACTTTACTGAACAAGTAATTTAAACTCTCATATGCTGTGAATGGTAATCTTAACATTCGTCGATAGTCGATTTCTCATCTCAATTATTATAGTTATTATTATAGGCATAAAGTTGCGGCCAAGTACCCTCTGGCCATCGTCAGACGTTCATCTATTGTTCTCATTTTGATTGCTATAGATGATATTGCAGACACAACATTTCGGCCAAGTGTTCTCTGTCAATTACTTTGTCCTTCTGAAGACTTTCTATATTTGTTCCCATGAATCAGACGATATTTTATCACTACTTGTCTTAGGTTTTGAACTCAAGAGCTTTGGACGACAGCAACAATTTATTAACCATTATTATCCACTATGCTCCCGTTCTGAAGAATATGTGTAGTGTACTTTTTTAAATCCAATATCAGATGATTTAAATATTTGGCTATCAAGGCAGGATCTCAAAAGTAAGAAACAAAAAACAACAACAAAAAAAGAAGCATTTTCAAATAAGCAGTACGTAGCCATGAGATTTCCGAGAGGTGATCCCATGACTGCACCATCGACTTGCATATATATATGTCCTAGATTATCAGAAAATGAGATTTCTGTGATACATAGTAGAAGAAGGGTGCGTCGAATGTTAGCTTTGATTTTAAGAGCAAGGAGAGTAGGATGATTATAATTTTTTTGGATAATGCGGGGAGTGCTAAAGAGTTCTCGGCCTAACCACAAGGGATAAAAAATTGAAATGAATATTTTTAACTTTGTTTTTTTTTTCAACAGTGTTTCAACTAATGTATTGTCTGACCTTCTTCAGGTGCATATTGAATTTTGTTAAGTTTTTAATCTTATTCAGAGTGAGTTTTGCTCAAAACAACAATGATAAGGATACTTACGTTCGAATTTCTGGGATAAGGAGTTATTATTTACATGATTCATATGTGGACTTTTCTCCTAATAATTATAATTATTATCACAAAGTTTTGGTCGTTGTGCACCTCCCGGTCTTCGTTAGCTTCTTGTCGATCTTTGATACTTGACTCTGAGAAATGACAGCAAGGTTTTAACAGCAGCAGCAGACTCCGTATAAAAAAGAAAAGGCTCGGTGAGTACAACCAAGTGTAACAAGCAGC